CAATTGAGTGTTTATGTCTTGTAGATCTTCTTGGTTACTTTACCTAAACAGCAATGAAGAACTGAAGCACATGAGCATTTGACTCTATGAAAAAAAACACATTGAAGGTTCGACATGTTTACAAGAACATCAGAATGATAATTGGTTCGAGTGACAATAATTATCTTCCACTTTGGAAATCAGTCACGCAATTTGTCTTCAAGAATTACATCGCATCAGACTGGACTTAATATAGTTTTGGTTGCTAAGTCAAATTTAACTTCGGGCTAGTTACGATAATTCAGTAATTTAATTAGCAATACGCATTTATCAAGTTTCTCATCACCTCCCTTTTTATTTCATTTCAGTCATTTATTGGCTCCAACCAAGTTTTGATAATAGTCCACAAAGTATTCAGCAACTGGTTACAAAGACACAGAAATTTTATCATATGCTCTATAAATAGTTGAGTATATATGAGAATCCTATCATGATAAAGGGTTGGAGTTCAACCAGGTCTGTTGTGAAATATCAGCTCACTGAAGACAATGGTGGATGGTGGCGCGATTCCGTGGATTGGCCGAAGTTAGACATTAACACCGTTAGATGCCGGCTCAGTGTTCTAATGGTCAAACCCTCGCTCGCGAGATTGATAGATCCTGGGTTCGAATCCCGCGAGCGGGATCGTGGATGTGCGCAGCTGAGGGGTCCGATACTAGGACGAAACGGCCGTCCAGTGCTTCCGGGTTTTCCATGGTGATTCAATTGACTCATGATTTCAATTATTGAAATTACTAATGTTACTTAAATGATTTGTGACAATAACTATAATTTGAATTATATCATACAGAAATATCAACAATATTTATGCTTGAAGTGAAAAACAAGCTGAACATCATCTTTCTTTTTGTTGAAATGCTCAGAAAACCTGATGGAATTCTGGAAAGATTGATTTATAAAAACCCTTCCATGAATGACTGGATACCAGGTATCTATAGATAGGTCCTTAATGGTATGGAGAAAAAATTAATGACATCTCTTGTCATAAGAATCTTATAACTTTGTAGTTCCGAACCATTTAAGAATAATACCCATTGAAAATTGATATCTGTCGATCCATAGTTTATGCAGCAAGCATTGAGTTTGTTAAACACTGTTTCCATATGAATAATGTAATCTTGCTATCCATCTATTATAGACACTATTCCTATCCCCTTGGGAAAAGTAAGACAAAGGTATTGAAACGTTGACTGATTAGATGCAGTTTTCCAAGAAACAAGAACCCCCGGGCTTCGTGCTAGTCATCACTTTTCAGAAAGTCATGTCAACTATCGGTATAATTTGATCGGTAGTACTAAAGGACTAGACAAATATACAGTTGGTTTACAATCAGTAATCAATCGATTGTGTATCTAAACTATCGGAATTTATTTATTATCATTAATTGGGTATAAAAATACCAGTAAACAAAAGACCTACAAAAACCTTGCCATAATTCTTCTATTTAAATTTATTAAGGTATACAATTGTCGGTTCAAATCCCGTAGTGGTAGAGGTAGCAAGAGTATAAGCAGTAATCAGAAAGATTAGGGTTTAAAGATGTTATTCAAGAAGTATAATTCAGTGAAATAAAATTGGAAAGAGAAAAAGAAAAGGGACATAAAGCATACAGAAGATTAGAATTTGGAAGATCACAAACAGTGAATGCATCTGCACCATTGCAAATGATTTTGAGTCATGTCATTCAGGGTCTCTAACCATCGGTTGCTATCGTCTCACGGATCCCAAACAGGTAGTCTACACCTACCAACATGGCTCAGTTCACTTGTCAGTGACTTCATGAACTTGTGCAATGTTTCGGTCTGGCCGCCTCTAGCTTTCTTCCAACCTACTCCTATACCACTGAACATAGCACATCGAGGCAGTCGGTAGTTGGGCATACGTAACACGTGTTCCAGACATCTCAACTGATGTAGTAAACTTAAATTGTCTAATTCTTATTGTTACTGTTGTTGTCAGTTAAATACCCTTGTGTTTCAGTTATGATCTATACTCTTGTGAGTATTTCTTATTATTAATGTCTTATCATTCTATAAAATGCATAACCTGTGATCAGATATTTGATCTGATTTGTTATCATATTACTTAATCAATAACTTCCCATTAAATTCTTCAAATTTAGATCTAAATCAATGTTCCAAATGGATAGCCAACTTTATAGTAAATACTTCTGAAATTGCTGTATGTGAACATGGAATGATTTGTAAAATGAAAGTGTTAGTGCTGAAATGATTAGTATGTAATGTTAATTGAAATTCATATCACTTTCCACGGTAAATAATCTTCGACTAAATACTTTATATACTGTGTAGCCACATTACTTGCACTTCTTGAACCATAAAATATCCTTTTACATTCTGAATGTAATCTCACAATTTCATTTAAACGTATGAAGATCATGTTCCAGTGTCTTCGAAGGATATGTTGTTGAAACAAACAAAAAACGGTTGAATTCTAAGAGTCAGGGATTCTCATAAGAACTCCGGAAATTTCCTCTCGAATCCAGTCAGTAGTGAACAATTCATGATTTCGTTGACTTTCCCCAATATTCCATTATAGAGTCAAAATAGCGAATACAGTACCGATGTTGTGATCATAAACATCAAGCTCTCATTGATGATTATTCATCTATCATTGATGTAAACTGAAACTATTTTACTAAGAATACGATTTCAGTCGATAAATGAAATACAAATAACATATCAGTAATGAACACGTTTTGTGAAGATGAGATCATTGCCTTCAATTCATTCGTGCCTAGTCCTATATTGTGGAATATGACTGCTGTTAATCACTGACGTCCAGCATATAATACGGCTCAATCTTAACAATGAGAAAAGTTACCTGTCTCAGTAAACCAACACACAAAATGGAATAACATTGGCTTCATTTATTAATCTGTGCCGAATACAACGTGTAGATCAATCTAATCTCCATTAAACTTCAACTCAATGAAAAACGATGCATCACTCGTATCTCATCAGTTTTGAGGTCAGATCATTGTGATATCAAGTTGAAAATGCTACTTAATTTTAATAAGTATCTAATTTCAATTGTAACAATTTATGAATAAATAAGTGGCTTTGATTCATATTCAACAATCGTACACTGTAAAATGAAGAATTATCTATTGAACAGTTGGTTTACTTACTTACATTACGATTGTTACTCGCAATGGAGCATAGGCCACCGACCAGCATTCTTCAACCCAATCTCTCCTGGAACTTCCTTTCCAGTACTATTCAATTTTTGTTCATTCTTCGCATGTCTGTCTACATTTCTTCGCGTAATACGTTCTTTGGTCTTCCTCTTCTCCTTGAGGATTCCAGGTATGGGTATTATCTATTGAAAAGATTGATCTACCTAGAATTAAATGAATACAAAACAGAATAATCAACAGCTCACTAATCAGTTTTCATTTACCTGTGCAACATGTTTCTATTTCATCTATTTCATCGCTAATTAAGTAGTATCGATGTGATGATTATTGTTATCATTCAAAATCACAATACATTACCATAGGATTAGATTCCACAGGTTGAAATCAAGAGTCGATTGAAGCTAGAACACCATGGGAAACCTAGAAGCACCGAACAACTGTTTCGTCTCAGCACGCGACTCCTCAGCAGCGCGCATCCACGATCCCGAACCACGCGGGGCTCGAACCCAGGACCTACTAGCTTCAACCAATCCACGAAGTTGCCCCACCGTACACCATTGTCTTCAGAGAGTTGTTATCTCACAACAGACCTGGTTGAACTACAATGGTAACGGCTTCTCTCCATGGTGGTCTAGCTTCAATCATGATTTCAACCTGTGAAATTTCTAAAACTCTCCACAAAACCCATTCTGAGAATTAGATTCCTTTAACTAGTCACATGTATTGCACCATATAGAATTAGTGAAAAATAAGCATACAATCATGTTTTGCATAATGAATTACATCAATGATTATCTACATAATACATAACAGTATACATATCAATCTATCAAAAGCTTATTGACATTTGTTATGCGTAGGCTAAACTCAATCATTCATTTCTTCTTTTACTCAGATACAGGCTCACTGGCAATTCATCAACAAAAATGACATAATCAGCAGGTATGAAATTTAATTAAAAGTCAATTTCGAATGGAATAATCAAAATAGAAAGGGGATTCCGTGTGAAATTCATCAACAAGAATAGAGATTTCCTGAACACAACAAAACTCTTGTGGCAATTCCCCAACAACATCATCATCCAGTTCAAAATCATGTATTTGTCTATAGTTGGACAATATTCAACAAAATTGTTCGTTTTCTTCAATTGCCTTTTTATTGTAAGCGATAATTTCTATTGATTTGTTTTTCTGTTGTTCTATTCATTTCATTCTTTATGATGCAATATAGACAATTGACAGTATTGTGGTTGTATACGGCATGAAACTACCAACCAATTTATTTGGATATAAGAGGATTTTACAAGCAACTATACCACCCATCTTCCTAACTGCTATTTTCTCAGGAAGTCTTGGTATATTAGCTGCATGCATCGGAAATATTAGCAATATTGAGTGAAAGAAACATGATCATGTATCTGGTAACCATTGAAATATTAATGCATATGCATATGCATTTCTATCCAACTTTTATGTTTAGCATCTATGTACTTTGACCATTGTAATACTTATGGAAATAGGCATAGTGTTGACATCCTCTTTAATGAAAGATCAAGTTAGTTCATGTCTGACATTGTACGTTGACTTCTAATTACTTTCACGTATACAGTTCTTCACTGAAGCTCATCGTTCGTTAAATACGAATGTTAAACAATATTGGACAAATCTTCGTTATCAAATAGAATTTGATGATTTACAAACAACAGTAAGTAAATATAATATCGGTAAATGCGTTAACACTCTACATACAGTTCCGTTGTTGTGGGGCTGATTCATCCAACGATTATCCACATATTAAACAACTTATACCGATTTCATGCTTGTCTGGAATAAAACCATATTCACTGGTAAGTAAATATTTGATCGTTGTAAAACACTCTAGTTGCATATGAACCCATTGAAAGCTTCTAATTCTGAAGGGAGTTTCAACATTGAATAGGTAAATGTCTGAGGAAATGTTTGACGTAACACCTCTGCATGTTATTGTTAACAAATATAAAGCGATACCCGTGCTACAATAACCAAGATTTGTCCAACACTCAATTTATACAGTTCATTTATTCAAAAGTATACATTTTACACCATGGTTTAACATGCTTCATACATATTCTTAACACATTCTATTCACAACAAATTGATTGGTCATATCTACGCAGGAAATTACTACTCTTCTCACAATTCACCTGGAACACATGACCAATGCATATTTGTAACGTTCAGTCTCAAGTTCACAGATGCTGAAAATCTCATCGTGAGATCCTCAATTCCTTGTTACATATACTTGTCATGTTAACGTTGTTCTATTCACTTTAACTTGATTTTGTGTATATTCAAATAAATATATTAGGATGGAAAGGCCTTCCGGTGCTTTCAGCTTTCTAATGGTGATCTAACATTGGTCGATTCATGATCTCAATCACAACTCAACCATCTGCACAACTGTATACTGAAAATAAATATACGTGAATTTATGAAGTAGGATACAGAATGAACACTGAAGAACAAGACACCTTGATTGGACGGAAGTTAATGTAAAAACACGTCTAAGCAGATAAGTGATGGTTGTCTTATTTTCATTAGTTGTCTAATTAAATTCAGTTCATCATGTAAACTACGAAAAGGAGGCTGTCTCAATACTTTCCGTAGATTTCTTTCAACAATACTAGATTTTGTGGCATACTTATCAGTTTACTGTTGGTTTAGTGTTGTAGAAGTAGCTATTGTCCTAAGTTGGAAGTTGCATACGTGCAAAGCGATTCCATTTCCTGATCGCTCTAAGGCTTATGTCATTTATATCGTAATGTCTGCTTTTCAAAGAAGGACCACATTTATCAATCTGGTCATTGAAAAACCTCCACCGAATCACATGATTAACATAGTCGATACAAATGGATCAGTGATGTGAACACAGCAGCACACGTTTCAAAGGAAATGCAATTTTTGTTTGATTTATAGAAATATTTAATTAAGAATGAATGAACATTACTTGATTTTCGGATGCAGTGCTCATATCTTACTCAATACACCTTCATAAGGAAGGATGATTAACTTGTTGTATAGATAGCTTCCAATGAATCATTTCATGCAAACTAAATTCCACAAATCACATTCAACATTTTCATCTCAAGCTTACCAGTTATTCGTCATTCACTCACTGCTTTCCATGACTCGTAGACAAATATTGAAATCAACCAAACAACCAAACATCGTTCTCTATGGTCAGATAGATGGTTTATTCACTTGTTTTGAATATTACATGGCACTAAACATTTGTATCTTCACAATTATACATAATTAATTAACACTGTGTAGTTTCTTTATTTAACATGCACAGGGATGCATTGATGCATTGAATGGATTTGTACAATATTACAAAAACATTCTGATCTATTTATGCTTCAGTTTTGGAATAATTCATGGTATCTACTTGGTGTTCTCAGTTGTGATGGTTTGTAAATCTAAACATGGAAACACTCGATCTACACAAACCGCTTGTTGAAATAAAACGAAGACTATTGATGAGGATTGAATCTCGGCCGAAATTTCGCATGAATAACACTTAATTATCGTTGATAAAACACTATTACACTTTTACGTAACACTTGTTTCATCAATTTGTAATTTATACATTTCATTTGTGTAATAAATCGCACTAATATTACAGACTTACATAGTGAAATTTAATAATCATAGTCTAACACTTTATTTGCAAAACGTTCATTATTTGTTTCAGACTTTATTGTTCCTGCATTACTATACCAATTGCTTTCTATTCCCGTTCTTGCCTTCTTGATCTTCTCAATCTTCTGTTGCCAGACATTCTCTTTCTGACTCGCGTTGTATACTACTTATGTCGTTATAAGTAGCACACACCATAAAACTCGTATAAATTATAATAGCTTCATCTGTACACCTATTAAAGACTGAAATATATTTCACTGTAATGATAGAATTACACTGATAGGATGGATTCACTGATGGTAATCAGTAGTTGTGATAGCAAATATCATAATATATGGGGCCTGCTTGAGTATCTGGGCTGCCTGTTCCTGCCATCTAGATATTGACTGTAATATCCAAAACTATCCAATTCATACTCTTACTTAATAACTTACTCTTGTTACCCCCATGAAGTAGCATAGGTCACCTATCAAGATTCTCCAACCAACGTTTGCACTGGAAATTCTGAGTTTGATGTTGGCTTGCAGACAGTTGTTTAGCGTTCCATATGTCCTTCAATTGTACGAATACTACACTTACTTTGCCAATCCTCGTCTTTACGCCCTCATTGGATCCTCACTGTTCATCGACCATACTGACCACGTAAGTGTGATTTTATTGATTATCCTTGTGTTGTATATAGGGATCTTGGTTTTCCTCTTTTGTATGTCGAGGCATACTGATATAGAGGCTGCTGCTACATTGGCTGTCTTCCCAAGCATTTGTTTATGTGTATGGTATAGAGGAAGTTCATTAGACAACAATACTACTCAAAAGAACTGTTGGAAAATGATTCGATAAACTGTTATGGCCTTGTGATGTCTGACTTTTCGATCACACGACTTATCTACCAATCCGGATACGACTTATACGAATCTTCACACTAGGCCAACCAATGACGTTCAACCGGTGTGGGCAGTTTAGCGTCCTTATTGGTCCTATGTCCTACGAGCCCTTCCACTTGAGTCCAGAACACAAGTCACAGCTTCGAATCAGAGCAGATCGTTTATTTCAGGCATACTTGGTTTATATATCAATCACACAGACCGCAACGTACCATAAAATAGGAAATAATATTTGTACACAAATAAGCCCAAAAAGTGGCTGTGAATGTGGGAGGCAGTAGTTAATAAACTGAACATAATTTAAGAACCGTAAATCGTACAATAATAAATTATAGACCAAAATAAAGCTTGTCATAAGAGGGATATAAATATACATAATGTAATTGTTGAATAGTTATACAATAAGAATATTTATACAATATTAGTCCATGAATAGTCCTCGGAAGTTACCTGTAATTTAATCTCCACTTGGATATAACATAAACCATAAGCTTTTGTTTGATCCATGGTTCACCATCATTCTCCTTTTTTATTCCAAAGCTATTTTAGGTCTGCCTTTTTAATATTCACAATATTTAGTTCATGCTTTCTGTCATGTCAAGTGAAAAGTTAGGAATTTCCCAGATTAATTTTATTTGTTTTGAATTCATTCTATCTCAGAGACCTTATTTAGCCCCTCTGAAACAAAATCAGCAAGAAATTTGCTGTCAGTTAAGTAATCTGTGAAGTGGATTGAAAACAAATAAGCAACCGTATAATTTGTAAATGTTTGAGGAACAGATAGTGCTGTGATATCTCAGAATGAAACGATTGTCGTCTAAATTCTTAAAAAGGTGTACATAACCTATAAACCAACTATTGAAGGATTATTTGAATTTATCTACTAGCCACCATCATGTCCATCAGGTTTAGTAGAATCATGAAACAATATCTGCCAACAAATAGCTACGTTATAGTTCAGGTCAAATCTTCGTTTTCAACTAAATTTTAAAGTACTTTCATACTCACTGAATCCCAAAAATATTTGTATGCATCGATATCAGGTCTTCCTTCAATTCCTTGGAGATGACTGTGTTTTCGCTATGTCTGTTGAAGTAAAATATCCCCAAGTGCTTCATCGGCATCTGAAAAATTCTGAAAACACTCCAGATAGGTTAAGAGCATACAATTACCTCTCCTCATTGCTTAAATCTAGCTGTGGGGTTAGACAGTGTTTTCTAATCCCAAAATTCCTCTTCATCTCTGCAGTCAATGACCTCATAAAGAACACGATGGATGGATGGATGGATGGATGGATGGATGGATGGATGGATGGATGGATGGATGGATGGATGGATGTACCTTGAATCTTCAAGATGTGAATTATTCTTGGACAGTGGCTGAGATGTTATCAGTTTTTTGTACTGGTAGCGAGGGACACAGTTGTGTTGAAACATCCAGTCATCTTAAATGAGCATTTTCTGCTTCGCCATTAGCCTTTAGTGAAATGAAAACAATATAAAAATATACTTTGATGGTTTGTAATCGACGCGAATGAGGGATGACAATACTGCTAATGATTGGAGAGATTTCACAGGTTGAAATCATGAGTCATTTGAAGTTAGACCACTATGGAAAACCTGGAAGCACTGGACGGCCGTTCCGTTCTAGTATGGGACACCTCAGCATTGTGCATCCACGATCCAGCGCCCCACGGGATTCGAACCCAGAACCTACTGGTTTCGCGCGCGAGCACTTAAGCACTATACCACTGAGCCGACCGGCATCCAACATTGTTGATGTCTAACTTCAACCAATCCACGAAGTTGCGAAGTTGGAGAGATTATTTAAAAAGGAATGGTCACACCAGCCACATGAATTATGGTAGGAATCAAACTCTTTTTCAGTATTATATGTATATTCTGATGTTTTGATATTTGTGAAGTAGAATGTGTGGTGGAATGTATGGTGAATGTGCAATATATTTGCTCCATTATTCTTCATTTCCTCCTTATACGTTAGATTTTTCTTTATCCAATGTACTACTTATGGTGCGCACTGTTGAGGAGTCCCACGCTAGGGCGAAACGGCTGTCCAGTGCTCTCACGTTTTCGATAGTGATCTAACGTTGATCCATTCATGATTTTAATGAAATTCAACAATCTCGACAACCCTTTATTAATAATTAATAATAATTATTATTCAGTTACTCATTTCATTCTGAACATATTGAGTAGTTATTATCCGTTGATGTGTGGTATTTCCAAATACTTATATGTACCTGTCACATTCAACTCATTTATCATCCTGATTTTATCCGTTTGACGCTTTGAAGAGTTACCTTAGACTCTTTCGCAGTTATTGGCGATATATGTAGTTTTGAATCCGGTTAAAC